GGTGGCCCTCGAAACATTGAAGGAAATGGAGGACTGCTTGAAGAAGTTGGACAGTGGAATAGCTCGCAAGCGACGCAATTGGGCCACCCAGCAAAAAGCCGAGGTTAATAAGATAGAGATGGCAAGTCATCTGAAGAGGTCCTGGCAGAGTTTGTTGAAGGATCATTTTGAAGAGGCGATGAGGACATCCTCATCAGCACCGCCACTGATGGCGAATCCCTTCGTTAGAACTGCGGGACAATTAATGTTCACCTGGAGTCTGGTGGGAATAGAGTTGGAGACATTGACCTCGTATGACAGGCTGAAGTTGGGAAGCAAGAAGCTAGAGGTGTATCAGGCACTGATGCAACACGTGGCCAGGGACAATTCAGGCTTGAGCCTGGCTAGAAGAAAAGATGCCACATGTTTCTTGAGATGGATAATGTCAATGATGTCTGATAGCACCATCCTGGCATGCCACCAGTGAGCAATTGGAAGTAAAACCATGGAGAGAAGAGTCTCAACGATCATCTTGAACGTATATCAGAGTACAGGAATAGAGAAAGAAGATGGTTCCAGACTATCCTTAGAGAACCATCGAAAGCTGGACGAGGTACGGAGGTTCTCTAATAAGAAGTTCGAGGAAGAACATGATGTTCACCGTAACCTGGCCTCGTCAGAACAGTACTCGAGACTCAGTGAGAAGGGGGAATACCAATATGTGTCTGGAGTGATGGGAATAGCCTACAATCCCTTCTTAGACTCGGAAGCTGGAGGAGCCCACAGAAACCATGAGGTAGCGGAGCTACTGAAGTTTTGGACAGAAAGAATAATGGAGATAGACGCGGTGGAGAAAGAGGGGCCGAGCCTGGGCCTGATTCTTGAGAAAACACCAGAGGTGATAAGCGTACCGCGCTCAAAAAAAGAGTTGAAGTGAACATGGGCGGTGGAAATGGCTTGTTAACTACGAACTTGGGAGTGATATGGAAGCTACTAAGACCCTCCTGGTGTCCACATCCCCATGCGAGTCTAATCGAGGAAACCACCGAGCGAGTGAGGTTAGCACCAACGGAAGATGAAGATCTGGCGAAGTTGAGTGTGCTACATAAGCTAATCACGCCCCAGATGCAAGAGCCAAGCGAAAGGACGAGCGACCCCGGGTCAGCAAAGAAATTGGAGCCGGGTAGCTGTCTGGATTCGACGTGTGGGAACGGAGAGCACATCTGCGATGGACGGTCATGCGTCAGAATACTGTCGTTTCAAAAAGAAGACCTGGTCACTTGGTTCGAAGACATCACAGAAAGGGAGAAAAGTGAAGTGCAAATAATAGCGGAATGTTACGCGAGAACCACGGTGAATATAGCGACAGCTCTCGGATTCTTCTCGAGAATGTGTGGTCTGCAGGCACTGGAGAGACTGGAATCTGAACATCATTTAGTGACGGCGTTGAGCGTAGAATCATGGCCCGGGGTGTTGCAGGTGACTCAAAAACACATCCGGAGCTGGAAGGTTGGTCTTGAGGCGGAAATGGGATTTCCCATGAGCGAAGCTTATGGCTTGCCATTGAACGCGAAATCGCTGATAGGGTCAATGATGGCCAACTTGTGCGGAAGTCACTACCCGCTACACATGGCGATGGTGGAAGTGTCCAGCCAGAGAATACTGGTGGACAAGGCCTTCTCAGTGCCCAAGTGCGTGAGGTTGGCTCGGATGTCGCATCACTCGCACAAGTTGTTGAGAAAAATCAAAGGGACAGTACCAAAAGAATTGAGAGATGACTTAAGCGAAATCTGGGGAGAAGATCTTCTGAAGTTGGAAAGAGAAAACACAAGCGATCACGAGAGACAAAACGTGATCGGGAAACCTGTGGGAAGTACTCCGAACCTGGAAGACAACGACACGATGCACGAGAAAATGATGGAGCTTGAGCCTCTCTTGGAAGCCTCAGGGGAGCGTAATCTCAGGAGCATTGAGATCTCTCATGGGGAATGCCCATGCCACTGTTTGGCACAAACGGTGTGGTATCCAGATCACAAGAACCTTTGCCTGGTGTGGGATGTGGAAGAGATTCGGTCGATCGGACTACCGGATCACCGGCAGAAGGTGACGCTCTTAGTAGTGAGTACGATGTTAGCTCTGAGATGGATAGAAGAGAATATAACGAAGTATCGGGAGGCGACGACACCAACGGCTGAGTCAATATACGCGATAGACAACAGCAGGAGACTCGAGTTGTTTGAGACTGCGTGCAAAGTATTCACCATACCGACGGAAGTCAGGCACGTATGGAGTCGCTTGAGGTACTTTCCATGGTTTCGGGCGACACTGACGTCTTGGTTGTACATGACAACGAAAGATCACATGAGAAAACATCAAAAAGAGTATCGACAGTTCCAGGCCGAGATTGGGCCGGAAGCTTTCAAGAGACCCCTGCTAACCCATCGTAATGCGATCACGACAGGATGGAAAAGAGTGGGTAAGATGTCTAGAGACAATACCAAAGCGAGGGAGTCGATACTAGAGGAAGACCTGGCGAAGAACGTGAGCTTGAGCCTGCACAACTCCTTTTGCTTGAACCGAGAAGCTAGGGTGAAGGCACTACCCAACCAAGCAAAGAGGTTGCAGGAGCAGAGAGAATGGATGCGATCCTATGAACAGCTGAAGGCTTGGGAGGAGATTGTGATTAGTTCCGATGATGAAGAGGAACTGTTGAGACAGTTTGCCGCATCTAGCACTTCAGGATGCAGTACCTCCAAGGCGAAGAGTACGAGATGAATGGGCAAATCGGATGGATCTTGAGTCTTGAGAGGGAAGGGGGGCTTGAGCGTGGATCCGAGTGAAACTTGGATTCACGAAAAAGAAATTTTAACAAAGCAAATATTGTTACTAATATACTATATTTATTATATAAATCGAAATGCTGCATGACAATTTCCTGATTGAATAGGACAAAAGAGATTTTAAAATGATTGGCTTGAAAAGCGAAAAGTCAAGGGTGCAGGTGTATGCAGATTTTGGTTGCTGTTTAGCAATAGTGTGAAAATTTTAAATGGCTGTGAATTTTGGGGTGTAGATAAGCTTAAATCTGCTGCAAACTTCTGTAAATGACCACTGGCACTGTATCTTGAGCAACACTCGGTTTTTCTGGGACTCAATGGCAGAAGACAGCGCGCGATGAGGACATCGATCTCGAGTCCGGGGAGTATGTGCCAGTCGGTCATATTTGGAAGTTTGACCTTGAGAGGAGCAAAAAACACTTGATTTTGGAGTGAAATTTAATTTTTCAAAATTTCGAATGGAACCTGTCATGCACGATTTTCTCGCGAGAACTGAAAATCAGACAAAGAAGTTAGAACAATTTCAGAACAATTGAGTCGCACACGCGGGAAAGTTGTAAGAAAAAACAGTAGGAAATTGCTATTCGCAATTTCCATCACTATAATAATCGAGAGTAGAGCTGTCCCATCTGTGACAGAGACGAGAGCATTCCCTCGAATTGGATTATAGCGACTGGAGTATTATTCGGAACTGGACTAGAGTGAACCTTCGGTGGAAAGGTGGACAGCTTGAGTGTCCTAATGGTTCACAAGAAAACTATTGTCTAGAGTATAAACTTGTTCTCATTGTTAAAACTATAAAACATTAGACTCATTTAGTTACGTTATTTAATTCTTGAGTTAACTACCGACTGGATTATTTCCCACTTCTTGAGCGTGCTACTATGTGAGTACAAATTTAAATTCCTAGAGTGTGTTTTATAATTGTTATGTTGAGGTAAGGCGAGTTTTAGGTTGATCCATCTGAAATGGATCAAAGTTCCACTGTCTAATAAAAAAGCAACTTAACGGATTGTTCCAACCCGGTTTTTAACGGCGTTCATGTATTTTGGGTATCTAGAGACCTAAGTATGGGGACGTTTCTAATTCTAGAGTGGGGGGATATTTTAGTAGTAGCCTTTAAGCTGTAACGGGTCGTAGTCTCATGTCACAAACGAACCGATCTGGCTCCGACCGTTCTTGAGGTAGAAAAACACAAGAGATGGTGTCCCTGACCCTTGAGCCAGTGGTTATAGGGCCTATTTTTCTTAAGCCTCATGTGTGACTGCAGTAGACGAATGTTACAATATTTGAAAGTGAACATGCTCGCTGCCAAAAATCAGATTCGCATTTTTTCAGTTGGAAACATTTGCTGGTATGAAAGGGTATTGCGTGAGATCTTGTTATGCATGTATCAATAATCTGTACATACTTCTCCCAATCAATGTCAGTTTTCGAGTTGATAATCCTCGCAAAAAGTAAAACTACATGCAGTTCATGATATAAGGACAGTGGTAGTAAGTGAAGTCTTTGAAGACGCGATGTGAAATTTTGTTGAAATGTGAAATTTTGTAAAAGTAAATTGAATTTGACTTGCACTTGCTTCTTGGAATTTATTTCAATTTGCTAATGAAGTGTTCTTCTTTGATTAGAAGTCGTTTGGCTGTCGGCCTAAAAATAGTATATGATAGTTAGTCCTTAAACAGACGGTGAAACAGACTCGAGATGGTGAAAACGAATAGAATTAAGGTAGCTGACCACAGCCAGTCGTCAGTAGGGACTTTTTCTACGCTCCGTCATTGTAATTTCTGAGCGAATGCTGCATAGTGATATCCTCGTTTTCTTCTGGTCTTCTTAAAGCATTAAAATGAATGTTGCTACGATTGTTTTGGATCTGGTATATAGTTACGTAGAAGTATGTAGACAACCGCGTATTCATACTCGTCAGTAAGCAGACAAATACTGTATTAATCAATCATAATCGAGACAAGGAAGAAATTAATAATTACTTATTTCGTAAATTAATTATCTCGATTCTGATTGATTAATATGGTTTTTGTCTGCTTACTGAAGAGTCTGAATACGCGGTTGTCTAAATACAGATCGCACTACATGGTATAACACAGCTTTTGCTCGCAGTAATTTTCATTCAGACCTTGTATTTCAAGCTGAGGCAAATACTATGCCTCCTTTATGCTGCTTTCCTGTTGAGTTATTGTAAAGTCAAAAAGTAATTGTTTTTCAGAAAGACATGGTACGTAAAGTTTCGAGGCACTCTAAATTTATGAAATGGAAGTTGCAATTAAATGTGAATGATATTTTCAGGATTTCTCTCCCATACAGATCTACAAACCTGGAGCAGATGAAGAAAAGGCTGAAACTGCGCGATTGGTTTGTTTGTTTTACTGTATTAGGTGTTCAGATGAGCTGCAGCTTAATGTTTTAGTTTTTGTACCCATTGATTTGTTTTTCCGACAATTAAAAATGGGGAGGAACTTGTATTCGAGCGTGTTTTAGTTTATTTTTTGTTTTTCGCTCAAAGTTGGGTTCCACAAATAATCATCGGAGTGGGTCGGGTTATATATCATATAAAATCCCTTTCTAATAAAGTTTCAAAAAGTTGTCCCAGCAGCGAGAAAAACAGATTTAAATTCGAGCAAATGAAGCGAGCGAGCAGGCTTATAATAGCTTATTTATGTTTAGTTAAGCAGTTTAAAAGTTAATTTATTCGAGTAAATTTAGTTTTTTTGCGCCCTTTCGTGAGTGGCACTTTTGTGCAATTTTTTACGTCAGTTTTCTTTAAAAACTGTTGGCAATTTGCTGATTTAACTATGACTGTCGATTATGCCTAAGTTCTAGTGTTTCGTTCAGATCCTTTTATCACGGCACGCAGAACAAATGACACTAATTTGAAAAAAAAAATATGGTCAGAACATGGTAGTACTTGCGCAGTAACCGGCTATCCTTGTTAGATTTTCATTTTTGAACAAGTCAGAGAACGCATGGCCTTCAAACAAATTTCTTTTGTGTTCCGGAATACCTTTTTTTATAGCCGATGAACGTAATGAACACTTTTATATAGGTCGTGATGATTTTTTAGTGAACGTTTTTAAAATTAGCTTTGGCTCAAATTTGATTGTACGATTTTGAAGTTTGATTTTCTTGGCTTGAATTTTGATTTCTTTTTAAATTCAGTTGATTTCCTTTGTTAAAAGGAAGGCAAACTCCAATATCGAACAGCAAAGATCACGAAAAACGTGATTGTCTTTGTTTTCGAAATTGGTCTTTAATTTTCAGTACTCCAAGCGAAATAAAAAATTGCTTATTGATCTAGTTTTTTCTAATTGGGTTAATCTATTTATCTTTTATATCTTTAAATGCGGGCTTCACTATCTCGCCACGTGTAAGCTTTTTCAACTTATCATTTTTGCATGGTTAACGAAAGAATTTTTTCACGTTTAAGCTATATCGTATAATGCAATGTTTAGGAACTTTTTTCGATTTTCCAGTTGAATTCAGTGTTTATTTATCCGAGTTTAAAATAAGCAGCCTAATAGTGAAATATTGCGAGGGTTCCTCTAGTGGTTGCAAATTTGACCTCCAATTATGAATGACCAAATCGTTACGAGATAGACGATTTATGTTGTTTTTTCGAAGTTTTTCAGAAAACCCAAGTTACCAAGTAATTCACAAAATTTAAAATTCCCAAACCTGCAATTAAATTATGTCAGAGTTCTCTCAAGGGTTGTGAATCTTGCCTCCAAATATGACCGCTTAAAACCTCAAAGTTATCGAGATATGACATGTTTTATGATTTTTTTTTTCATTTTTTCAAAAACCTTAAATTTAAAAAGCTAGCTCAAATTGACTTTCTCAAGAGTGGGGCGCTGTCAGGGTAGTTTCAAAGGTTGCAAATCTGGCGTCCAAATTTGACTGCTCAAATCCTTTTAGTTTTCGAGATATGGCGTTTTTTGTTTTCAAAAAAAGAAACAGATATTAAATAAAGTAAGCGAACCTGAAAATCTCAACCCTATAGTGGGGTGCTCTCAGGGTACCTTCAGGAGCTCCAAATCTGGCGTGCAAGTATGACTGTTCAAATCCTTTTGGTTATCGAGAAATGGCGTTTTTTTCAGTTTTTTCTAAAAAAGCTTAGATATAATGAAGTAACCGAACTTGAAATTCTCGACCCCATAGTGGGCTGCTGTCAGGGTAAATTCAGGAGTTGCAAATCTGACGTCCAAGTATGACTGCTCAAATCCTTTCGGTTTTCGAGATATGTCGTTTTTTATGATTTTTTAAATTTTTTTTTTCAAAAAAAAACCTTGTAAAATAAAGTAAGCACACCTGAAACTCTCAACCCTAGAATGGGGTGATGTCAAGGTACACTTAGGAGCTCCAAATCTGGCGTCCAAGTATGAGTGCTCAAATCTTTTTTGTTTTCGAGAAATGGCGTTTATGATTTTTCAAACATTTTTTTAAAAACTTAGATATAAAATGAAGTAACCGAACTTGAAATCTCAACCTTATAGTGGGCCGCTGTCAGGGTGAACTAAGGATTTGCAAATATGGCCTCCAAGTTTGACTGCTCAAATCCAAGTATGACTGCTCTTTTTGGTTTTCGAGATATCGTGTTTTTATGATTTTCTTAATTTTTTCTTTCAGAAATCTTTACAAACTTTGAAACTCCCAGCCTGGTTGTTGGGTACTGTGAGGGTTCTCTCAGGTGTTCCAATTTGGAAATCTTGCGTCAAATTCCCACTGCTCAAGCGCTCTCAGTTTCTGAGATGTGACTTTTGTTATGTCTTTTTTTGAAGTTGTCAAAGAACTTAATTTGAAGTTGCCATCTGTATAGTGAGGCCCTGTCAGGGTAGTCCCAGGAGTTGCAACTTTTGTCTGGGAGTATGACTGCTCAAGTATTCTTTGAAGTATGGCGTGTTGTGTAATTTTTTTTCAAAAAGTTTTCAGAAAACTCAAATTTATTTATTTTGAAAATTTGAAATTCCCAACCCTGTAATCAGGAGCTGTCAGAGTACTCTCAGGGGTTGCGCAAATCTTTGTCTTTTTCCAAATTTCTGTTATTTTTCAAAAAAGTTTCAGAAAACTTAAATTTATGTTTTTGAGTCCTCAATTGTTTTGAGTTTCCGAGACGTGACGTTTTTTCATGTCATTTTAAGGAGACGTGACGTTCTTTCATGTTTCAAAAGAACTAAGATTTTTAAATTTTATAATTTTCGAAGTTCGAAAAAAAACTTGAATGAAAAACATTTTACAAAATTGGAAATTACCAAACCTGTAATCAGGCGCTGTCAGAGTACACTCAAAGGATGCAGATCTTATTTCTAGTATATGCGGTTTTCTATAGTGTTCTTTAAATTTCGAAGCACTGAAGGTGCGTTACACTCTAGTTATATCAAAAAGTGAAAATCATAATTTTTTCTTAATATTCAAAGAGCTTCAAGAGTTTTTTTGTAGACATTCGAAAAAAGATTTTAATAAAAAAAAAGAGACCGTTTTTTTTCGTTTACATGCGTTCATTGACTATTTTCCAACTGTCTGTTGGATATGTTTTAATCTCTATGTCATGTAACGAAAAAAAGTTTCCTATTTAGTCTTCTTTTATCGGAGCGATCACGATTGGGGATCTGATCAAGAGCACTCTTGGACCAAAGGGGATGGACAAGATACTTCTGGCACCTAACAGGTCAGGCACTGATAGCACTGTTTCTGTGACGAATGACGGAGCCACAATTCTCAAATCAGTCGGTGTCGACAACCCTGCTGCTAAGGTTCTTGTAGGTTGGTAATATCATTATAAACTGTGTTCCTATAGAAGCAGTCTTCAGTTTTTTGCAATAGATTATCGTACTTAATTGGAAAATGATTTCGTTTTTCATTTTGCTTTGTTTTGGCTTTTTTCCACAACCCACCCATTCACTCCCCCCAACCCCCCTCCCAACATTTCAAAATTTTCATTATTTACATTTTTTTTACGTGTTTTATTATGGCTGATTTTTTGATTTTTTGTCTGCTATTTACACTTGGTGTTTTGATTTTTTTGTCTGCTATTTGAGTTATGACCGAAGTGGTTAACTCATAGAGTAATTTCGGATAGGGTACACCGTCTGCTCGTCACGCTATCTTATTTTCGGCCGGATAGATTCGTGCAACTTCTTAGTCTAATACCGATCCTAATCTTACTCTTATACTATCTAGTCTCAGGTTGTTTAACTAGTCTCTGCTAGGCTCAATAGATCTAGGGTATACTGGTTTATTGCGGCTGCTGAAGTTCTCTTGGAGAGACAACTAATTTCTAAGTTAAATTCAAATCTCTCTGGTGCTGAAATTACAAGTAATTCCAGCACTTACAAATAAGTGGGTTGTTAGTTAGATGGATCATGATTGGTTAATATTAAATACTTTACAGTGGTAAAATATCTAATTTATCCAATCATAAAATGTAGTTTAGATCAGGTTCCACCCATCCGGGTTTTACAGAGTTTTTTTTAGAATAGTCTTTCTGCAATTCAAAGGATGGATGATGGACGTTGGTATTTGGCGAACATCATAATTCTTCTGGGTTCTCTTGTTAGAGAAGTTCCAGGTTCAATCGCTGTGTCTTCTCATGACAACGACTGGGTTTTCGCAACAAACTCAAATCTGCTTTCAGAATGGTTGGCTATGACAGGTTTTTCTGTTCCATGTAGAGAACTTCTTTTAGGTTGACCTTGTCTGGGAATGGCGTGGAGATTGTGCGTGGAGGGGATGCCTGGTTACTCGGATCTGTACGTATACTTGAACATCGAGGTGGTCATTGTTCTAGTTCAATGAAGTCCTTTTCTGCGAAGTCAAGTCGTACTCTAATTCCTTTGAATTGTGATTGTGGGCGGCATATTGATTGTGGTTGGCCATTCTTTTTCGAGTGTAGTGGGGTCATTTTGTCTTTGGATGTTCGTCTTTGGTGTTGTATGCTGATCTATATACTGCAAGGTATAATTTACATTTTATAAAGTTTTTATTAGTTTGGTGTTTTAATTATGATTTTGGTTAGTTGTTTTCACAAAAGCTTTTTGTTTTAGTTCGGTTATTTTGAAGAGTTACTCACCCTTGAGTACCTCTTATTAAAAATAGAAGTGTGGTCACAAAGCGTGGATGTAGCGCGGTGGGTTAGGCCGGCTCTAGAGCATGCTCAGGACGTCCTTTCTGGTGGGTTAGGCCAGGAGTGGGAGTATGATTTCGTGCGGTTTCTGTGAGAGGTCCTGTTATGTGATAACTTTTTAAGTTGGGTTTATTGTGGTTTTTCTTATGTTTCGTTGGTTGTGTCCTTTTTTCAAAAATCAAATTGTTTTTGGTATGGGTTTGTCTTTCGACTTTTTTGTGTTTTATTATTTCTTTCTTAGACTTTATAATAGTCTTCAAAAGAATAAATTATCCAGTTTTAAACTGGGTTAATCCGGTTTGGGTACCGTTGGTTTCTTTTTCTTAGTCATGCTGTTATTCTATGTGTTGTGGTGGTTAGTAAGCTGCGTTGGTTAGTTTTGTTTAGTATATAATTCCTTTCCAACCGGGTTAAAGGAAAGATTGAAACTTGTTATCGTGTGTTAGAGTTGTTGAGTGTGAAAGCTTGAAACTAAGATTCATTATTTAAACAATTCTTCGTGGGCGAGCTGTGCGAGTTTGGATAGAATTCTTGTGCGAGTGAATGGAAATATCAAAAGGTTAGTACTGCATTTTCGTCTTATCAATTTACTACATAGAATTTCAATTTTACTGCTAGTTTTGGGGAAAAATTAAGTTACAAATTTTCATCATTATTAGAATTACTGCTTTTAGGGAAATAATTTATAAATTAATTTACTACATTTGTATGAACTTTATTTAATTTAGCTGGTGCAAAAGATTATTAGAGTTTTGAACAATTTGAAGAAGTTTTCTATTTTTTATTTTTCTTTTGTGTATTTTGCAGATGATCGTGAGATGAAGACTAAAAATCAAAATGAGACATGGATAAAGAATGGTTAGTTTTTTAATTTGAATTTATTAGTTAAGAATATGTATAAATTATACTTACGTGTTAGTCGTCGGTGAATAAACCGTGGGGGAAGATGTCGTGTATTATGTTGGAGTTAGTTAGTAATTTTGCTAGTATGCGAATGATGTTTTTAGTTTGAAGCAGTGGCCAAAGCAATTGAAGTGCTTTAATGGTTTTTAGTTCTTCAGTGCCAACTGCAAAATCATAAGGTGTGTTTTGGATGAGATTATATAAATGGTGATTGTATTTAGTGTTGTGGATGAATTCTAATATTGGGATTTCTATAGGTTGAACAAATTCATGTGGGATAAGGAAGGGTCTGGATTCTTCTGCGTTGAAGGTCTTTGTGATGGGACAAAAAATATACATTTGGGTTATGGGATCATAATTGCGAAGAATACCGTGAACGTTAGTATCTTTGATGCAATATGTGAAGTTAAGAAAAAATGGTGAAGTGTATTTAGAGTTAATAAATTGAAAACGGTGGTGTGGTTGTCTTGATGGAGTGTGTAGATCAAAGTGATTTTGTATGAAGCGATAATATGTATATGTGTGGGTTTGTTTAGTGCGTAACATAATATCGTGTGAGCAGTGCAAATCTCGTTCATGTGGTGCAAGGAAATGGAAGGTTAGTGAAAATAATTGAAATTTTTCTTTAAAACTTTCGTAAGCTTGTGTGTCGGTTAGTGCTTCAGAAATGATGTGATCGAATTTGCGATCAAATATATTGAGTGTAAATACATATGGTGTTTTGATGAAGAATTTTTCTGTGATTTGTGGGTTAGCGAAACGGTCATCATCTAAAAATTGGTCTTGGTTAGCGCGGATGATGTTATGATCGTAATATTCTAGCGTATATTCGTTAGCTCGGGGTGCAGTGTATGTTTTTAGTGACTTTTTATATCCTATATAAGTAAATTGTCTATGTGTTAGTGGTGTGGTGAGTCGATATAGCATATCTTTATTTCTTTCTATATCGATGTGAGTATTAGATAAAGGTAGGCAAAGGGGGTTAGTAAAATGATAATATGATGTCCAATGAAGTGTAGGCATTAAAACTTGTTCATCTACAAAACTACGTGTGTCGTTAGTGTTGTTAGGAGTATTCAAAGTATATTGTGGAAATGAAGGTAGGGTGATTGCTAAAAAATCTTTCGTGTTAGTGTGATTTGGATGATTAATATATTCACGGGCTGTTCCTGGTTTTGTTGGAAATGGATGGTTCGGGAATTTTCTTTTGAAAGTGCGATAAGCTCTATTAGTGCTATTTGATGATTCGGTGGATGTGGATGATGGTGCTAATGATGCGGTATAAGCTGAAGAGGGTGTAGGGGTAGGTGGGTTTGATGATTCTATTGTGGATGAAATCTGATTTATAGTGGGGTTTTCAAGGTGGAAGGGTTGTTGTTGTAGGGTGATAAAATTATCTAGTTCCTGGGAGATTTGGGGAGTATCTGGAGAATTGGATGATCGGTCTGAATGAAATGAAGAGTAGGTTGGGGTGACTTGTGAAGCATAAGAGGGTGTAGAAATGGATGGAAGTGGGTTATTTGGCGGAATTGGTTGAAAAGGGGGTTTTGAAAAAACTGAGGAGTTGGTTTGAAAATTATTGGATGGAGATGGTTCAGAGTCTGCAAATTCATCAGGGGTTTCAATGTTCGGGTTATTTAGTTGTGAAATGGAGTATAAAACTGAGATATGTGAGTTAGTGTCTGAATTCATGCCTGATGTTACATCATTGGTTGGGAAATCGGGTGGCGGGAAAGCAAAAAGTGGAATTATTGTAATTAGAGTGTTGAGGTTGGTTGGGTGGGAATTTGAGCGGTGTAGGGATCCAAGTTGTCGGCTCATCGTGGGCTAAAAAAATTGAATACGAAATCCTAGTCAAAACCAAAATACAGTCGAAATAAATAGACAAATTATACATCCTCGACGAAACAGAAATTTTCAAACTCCCCGAGTTCATTTTGATATACCCCAATCCCCATCACAAAGTTGCTCGGGCTTTTGAATAAAGTGTCGCTATTACATTTGTTGTTTCTATAGCTTGTGGTTCTGTTTCGCATTGTGATACTTGATTTATTGCGTATTTGTGTAGTGTTTTTTGTTCGTTTTCTTCACAATCGTAATGTGTTACTAATAAATCTTGATGTCCTGTGCGGGGGGAAGGGTTTATGTTTTCATTGGAGGTTATTAGAAAAAGGAGTTGGAGAAAAATCAAAATTTTTAGAATATACATGTGTATGACAATCCTGAGTATGGATTATAAAATGTGATGTAACCAATTGTCTTTTTGGTATATCTGTCGTATTTGTATATCACTTCAGTTGTTATAAATGGTGGTGGTAGGGATTGAGCTGTTATATTTGGTGGATTTAATGGATAGGGATGTTGAGTAATGTTGTTTAATTTAACCGTGATTTCAAATTTTAATTGTAGACTATTTTGTTGGAGTATTTGGATGTTATGATCACGAATGTCTTCGTGGATGTCTTGTCTATATTGTAGTCTATTTAGTGCCCAGTTGTGGAGTCGGTTACTCTCTGGGTGTTGTCCAAATAATGGTGGAGGTGCTGTGAATGTATTCCAGTCTAGTCTTAAAGGAATATTTGTTGATGATTGTTCTCGATATCTAGCGTCGAGGTTATTTGGGAAATTTAAGTTAAAAGACGGTGGTGAAATCTGGCTTATTGATGGTGTTGATGGTAGTGATAATGTTTCTGGTAGTGATGAGGATGTTGTTGTATCCGTAGAAATATCTATTGGA